ACCACGGTTTTCCTCATTAGGGCAGAAGAGTCCAGCTCCCTCCGCCCTGATTAACAGCAGGGGAAGGGAGAAGGGTCTCAAAGTGGGGATCATCCTTTATTCCCTTGTTATCCTTGCTGGAATTGATGATTTTTTTTTTTGCATTTTTTGCTCTCCTGCATTCTCTGCTGAAGCAGCTGGTGCGCCAGCGCTGTTCCCTGCATGGCCAAACCCAAAACAAAACCAACCCAAACCCTTTCAGTCCCGATCCCTCCAAGCTTCTGCATCTTTACCCTCGGGAGATGCAGGTGCCAAATTCTCCTTCTCCAACAGGCATCCGCAGTTACCCCTTGTTAACTGCCGAAACTCTAACGCAGCTTCTCTCTGGCTGTTAAGGACACATCACCATCGTCAACCACCTCCTCAACTACTTCCCCGCACTCGAGGTGGACAAGCGAGACCCCCGGGGCCTGACGGCGCTGATGAAGGCTGCGGTGCAGGGGCGGCAGGACTGCGTGACCGCCCTGCTCCTGGCTGGTGGGTGCCCCCCCGGGGACTTGCTGGGATTTTTTGGGAAGGGGCAGCATTGCCGCTCACCCTGTGTGGTGGGGTGGGACAAGGTGGGACGCTGCAGTGATGCTCTTTGCATCCCGGTGTCTCCAGGAGCAGACCTGCAAGCGGTGGATCCCATCAAGGGGAAGACAGCCAGGGAGTGGGCAGCCTTCACCGGCCGCTTCGAGACAACCGTGCGGATCCGGAGCCTCCTGCGGCACCCACGGGCAGAGCAGTTTGGCACCCAGTACCGGCCCGAGTGGCCAGCCCTGGCCGAGCTGGTGGCCAAAGCCCTGAGCCCCAAATCCAGGGGCAAGAGGCTGTTGGAGAAGGTCCAATCCATGTTCACCTTCAGCTTCCCCCATGACCCTGAGGAGGACGGCGTGATGGACCACATGGTGAGGATGACCACCTCCCTCACCAGCCCCTTTGTGGCCACCGCTTGCCAAACCGTCTGCCCCGACAGCCCCCCTGAGGTGGGCAAGCGCAGGCTGTCTGTGCCGGAGATCCTTGGGCAGCATGTGCCGGATCCGGACACTGAGCCAGAACCCACCTCGTGCTCCGGCGCTGGTGCATCCTCTTGCAATGGCCAAGCCGTGTCGGAGATCCGGCTCCTGTCACCGCCCCGGCCGGCCAGTGGCCTGCTGAGCTTCCTGCCCCTGTGGCTGCGGCGTGGGAACAGCATCTTCCCAGGGGAGTCCATCCCAAAAATCAAAGTGAGCAAAGCCTCCTGCCCGCCTGCCCGCTCAAGGGAGTGGAGGCCGCGCGGGGGGAACAAGGACCTGCTGCAGCCGCCCAAATGGAGGTACAAGGAGCTGAAGGAGGAGAAGAAAGCAGCCAAGGAGGTGAAGACTGAGGAGAAAAAGAAGAAACAGGGGAAGAGATGCTAAGGCAGGAAGTGCCGGGGTGGGGGCTGTCCCCTTGGAGCTGCTCGCCTTTTTGGCACAGGGGTCGTTTCCTGCCCCAGCGGGATGGTGATGCCCGAGGGAGGCGGACGCTGTGGACATACCCAGCTGAGATGCCCCAGCCCCTGTAGTCCTGAGTCCCTGACCCCCTGCCCAGCCCCTCCTCCTCTCCCACCTTGTGGGTGGCCACCCTGGCCTGGCTCTGGTCATGGTGGGCTCAGATGTGCTGTGACCCTGCCCCAAGCCGGGCTCTGGGTCTGCCAGGGAGCCCGTCTGTGGCAGAAGTGGCTCTTTTCTCACCTTTTTGGGGTTGTGGGGGTTTTTTTTCCTTTTTTCCTTTCTTTTTGCCTCTTTGATCTTCCTGAGATCTTGACATAGCAGCACATGGTGGAATGCAGCCGTGCAAATTAAAATGGAAGTGGTTGCCATGTTAACAGGATTGATTTAATGAATAAAGCTCAGGGCTGCTCGGCAGGCTGGCGGGAACGCTTCCCCCTTGCTGCCAGCATCCCCTGTCACCCCCTGGGTGACATTATAACTTTCCCCACTCCTGGGTATTCCTGGCTTGCAGATGGACAAACCACGGCTCAGTGCGGGCAAGCACCCGCATGCTGCAGGAGGGTCAACAGGAGCTCCGGGTGCCAGGCACAGGCTGGAAACCAAACCTGGGGGTGCTGGGGGGCTCCATCCCCAGCCCCCCTCCAGAGCAGGGACAGTCCGGAGTGCTCCGGGTCCTTTTGTGCTCCAGTGTTACCCAGGACAGGACCCAGTGGTCCCTGTTCCCAAGCCAAGCTCTGGGAGCTCCAGCCTGTGCCCCTGCGGAGCCCTGGGACCCCACACCCGTGCAGCCCCCAGGACCTGCTCCCATCAGGAGCCGTGCAGCTGGTTTGTCAGCCGCCCGCACACCCAGGGTGCGATGTGTTGCGGTGGTGGCGAGCTCGTGCTCCCCATGTTTCCTGCACCCCTAAAATCAGGCTCCAGGGTGTGAGGAGGTGAAGCCAGGGTGCTGGCCCCTGCAGTGCCCCAGCACCCAGGGTTTGACTCCCAGGGAGAGCGGCTGGCAGCCAGGGTGGCTCAAAGGTCACAAACAACCCTTGGCCAGGCACGGAGCCCCCTCCCTTCACCACCCCCTTCTTTAGGGGGACAAACACTCCCCCCCTCAGGCTGCAGCTCTGCCTTTCGGGGGGGCACTGGGAGGTTTGGGCCGAGTTGCAGGCAGGCAAGGAAGGATGCTCGTTGGGAAGGAGCTGCAACCTTCCCGTCTGTTCCCCTCCAGCCGTTGGCTCGTGTCGGGCTCCCCCGCCCGTGGCTGGCCC